AAGCTTAATTAAAAATGTAAGAAGCACAAAATTCATCTTGAATTTGATAGAAATAAACACTAAATAGAGATTTATCTCGTCACTCTTGACTACTATCGCAGGACCAAGTTACAGTTACAGTTTACCGTGAAGTGATATCGTATCACTTCACTGATATGGTTTTTATTCACGGCTATATTTCACGGATATCGAGCTTAAATGTATAATAAATATACTGTATCAATCAATTCCTGAATACTGCATCAGTGATCATGAATAGCGCTTTGGCCACTATTTAGAGAATATATAAAATCTGTAACTATATACAAACTGTGTACGTGTTGGAAAATTTAGGTATAAAATAGCTTTAGCTTTATCAAGACTTTTGTTATCTTAGTTACTGATCTTCGATTCACAAGAGTTCAATGCAAGCTTGAATACTTGAGTTAGTTTAAAACGGCATGTCTAATAATCATATTTCCCCCACTTTATTAACCAACAGCAAAATCAAGCTAAAAATGGAAAGAAGGAAGAAAATGGTCTCCGTGCTCTAGCTTACTTGTGTAAAGTAGCAAGAATTCTTGAATGCGAACCTTATAAGAAATACTACCGGTTCATTTAGGGATTAAGTATTGCGTATCATGTATAGGATGGAATAAGATGTCATTAATATACTTTAAAACCACTAAAAGATCTAGAATCGCACGATGTTGTATGGTTTAGTAATCGGTTCGTCAATGATTGTAAGTCAGTAAATAAAATACAATTATGAAAACTGGCATTTGTGCGTCGCTATATATCTTGCAGCTGTAGAGATCATTGTGTATACTGTATAAATGACTTAATATTCCGACTACCCTGTTTAGGGCGCGGCGTTGATGCACAGGTAGCCCAAGCTAGGTTTCTGTAGTGTCATGTTATAGGAAAATGTATGGCGATACTTAAAAACTCAATAACATCGTCAAAATGTGAAATAAAGTAAAGAAATCTTAGCTGACTTTTGAAAAGTGGTACCTCTTTCGTCCTGTGTACTTAGTTGGATGTAATCATTTTCCACGTTTTTTCCTCCCAAAATCTAAGTACACAGGGCGAAAGGGGGAGGGAGGTGTGACTCACACAAAGCAGTCTGAAAAAATCCAGCAAATGAGGGGTGCTATATAAATGGCTGTGGCTAAAGGTTTTCTAAAACGAATTTTATCAATTTGAAATATTTCATCTTTGTAAAGCAAATTCCAAGTGCAATTGACCGTTGCATAATAGACTTCAGTTTGATGTATTTGACTTCGGCACAAAATACGAACAACTCTTTTCGTGGCCCACTTTATAAAATATACTCATATCGTACGGCTGATTCAAACCAGAAAGACCGTTGGATGGAAAGAT